AATAATCGTAATGACTCCACACAATAGAGGATTTTTTGGACACAAAAATCGTTTGCGACAAGCCGTGAATCGGGCCACACCCCTGATTGTTTGGGGATGCAAATCGGGCTTAAAATCGTCTAGTGTGCAGCCAGCCTAAGTAACTTTGCAAGTACATGTCAACTTATTCTAACCCCACTAATACTCGCCTAATACTCTAATGAGAGTTATTAGACATGCCGGTGCAACGCTACTTATAGTCAACAGAATGTTCAAAAGGGACCATCAAAATAAAGTGAAACCAAGTTTCTCTATTAATATTTAATAACATCAATACAAAGAAAAAAATCCTACCCTATACTTTTTTTGCTTTTGAGAAGCTGTTTCACTTGTATATATGTCACAAAAGAGAAGAAAAGACTATTACAACTACTATTTCATGCCAGCTTTAACATAACCATCATCGAAAACCATGATACTATAAGCCAATATCTATTCACTTGCAATGAGGATAAACATTATTTGAATTATTGTCTGCTGAGAATGGGAAACCATTGAAATTCAATTGCCATTTAACCCAAACACTGCATACTCCTTTTCTCTTCTTGATGCATTTACAAAATTGCCAGTTTTCCTATGTCATAATATTTTATATATTGATGGACCCATGCAGTTCATACATAGTGATTTAAAAAAAAAATAATTCTGATTTTAAGGACATTTTTGTACGATAAGCAATATTGCAATATGAGAAGCAAAATCTGGCTCCTCAAACAAAACAAGAGATAAACTGCTTTGTAATAAAAGCAGACTACAATTTTAAATGATCAAACTGTTTTTTATTTTAGACACAGTGCAAAAGTGTGTTTATATAGTCTGGTCCCGATGGATTTTTTTTTTTACATATTAATAGCTAAACGGGAAAGCCAGAGGATTCCCTGAATCATATTTACATTCACATTCCAGACATTTGAACTCTTCAGTGAAACATTTTCACCGGCTGCTCCACAGACAGCGTGAAATGACAAAATATGCAAGTGATGCCTCGCACACCTCAAACCCCAGAGCACAAAACATTCTCAAATCTCATTCTATCTGCCAAGAGCGTCACCTCTCACTGCCTCTACATAACAGTGGCAAGGCTCCAGCCAGACCCCAGTCAATATCACAGAGCCATTTCACATTGATTCAAATCCTGTCTGGGTGATATGTGGAGGATGTACGCTTTCAAAAATTCAACGCGAGGGAGATTAAAAAAGGGTCTTTTTCCTTGCTCTCTCGTCTCATTAAACGAACCGAGCTTGTGAATATTTCACGTGCCAGCTTCATTACTGAAGATGAATCAAACGAGAACACAAGACTCGTATAAATAATGGAGGGCTGTGAGTAACTGTGGGCCTGGCTTTTGTATATACAACAGGTGGCCCTCAAAATAAATGGAAAATATGGGGATGGGGGATGAGTCATGCTGGAGACCCTGGTCTCTTGAATTGAAGGCCCAGCAGTCCTCTGTGTGCACATGGCTCACACATGGAAATTAAAGGAATAACACCTCAACATATTGATTCAGCTGTATAGGTCCAATGTAGTACTAGATCACCTCTGGCCATGACAAAAAAAGAGCTTTTGAGTTATACTACTTACATTTTTAAATACAAATGACTTGCAAAAATTGATTTGATTTAAAAAAATTTTAAACGGGAAAAAAATATCTGAGCCGTGTTAGCTTTCTACTTCAAGGGCATTAAAACAGATTTGGCTTATGTATTAAAGTAAGGGGTGTTCATGTGTCTAAAAAAAGTAATGCATGGCCTTGAGTGTCTTATTGTATTTATAAAGTTACTACAACAGTAATATGATAAAAGTCACCAATCAGTAATAAATAATTATAATTTTAAATTATATTAATCTGAATAAACTCATACAGTTCTTTGTGTTGTTGTTAATGAAAAGTAAATCTATTGAAAATGGATTAAATCTATTAAATTAAATCTATTAAAAAAGAAATAAAATTTTAAAATTGAAGTATTAAAATGACTAAAAATATAACAGAAATAAAAATAAATGATCTAAATAGCTAAAGCTAAACAGAAAAAAAACAACAAAGACAAAACCATACACTAAAATTACTGAAACTAAAATTTGAAAACTGATATAAAATATAAAAATAAAAGCCAATTCAAAATATTTCTAAATTGGTGCTTAAATATAGAATTCAAATGATGCATTTACAGGTGTGCATTTATTTGAATCAGATTTCTAATTTGGAACTAACAAGTTTGTATTCGAAATGTAAAAGTCATGCTCAAGTGGATAAAAGGATAAAACAAAATCACTAGTACTATAAAAGGCAAAAAAGTCACTTACCTCTACACTGGCAAATCAGACAGCCCAACTCATCATGTTGGAAGCCCATTGGACAGGACATGTCACATGGAAGTTCAGGGCATTTCTTACAACGACAGGTGTCACAGCCATGCTTGTTCTTACTGATAACAGAAAACAAGATGGGGAAAAAGAACAAGAAATCTTAAAAGAGACATACATAGATAAATACATACATATTGTAGTAAGTTTTCTCATTAAAAAATACATTTAGATAATATCATACTTTCAAAAATATTTTTTTATAAATGATGCATGTGCAAATAATATATAAATGAAGACTCAAGACATATCAGTAGTCTAAGTGACCATTCACACAGAACATGTTTTTGCACTGTGCTACTTTTCCATTGATTTCCATGTAAACAGACACCAGACGGATGTCTTTGACCTCTGCACTCATGTCTTATGCATCATCACACGCATGACATGGCAATCTAAACAAAATAATAAAAAATACGGAACTAAAGTCAAAATAAGTCAAATTTAAAAAAAAAAGGCAACCATCTATTTTTCCGCAAAAAACGTGTTCTGTGTAAATGGGCCCTAAAAACTGGTTTATATGTGTATATATACAGTATATATAACAGTGCACCTTTAAAATAACCCTTCAAGACATATGGACTTCATAAAGAGTCAGTGCACACTTTGTCATTGGCACATCAAAGCTTGGCATTATACACCAGGTGCCAAAGACATGGTTCAATGTCATCTGTTAACACCGGAACAAAGTGAGAAGAAGAGAGAGAGAGGAAAGAGAGAGTCTTTGTTGACCTTACTTGGAGTGCTGTCAGCAGATGGCACATTAAAGACGACTAACCAAAACGACCAATCAAAATGCTCCCTGATGGCCAAGGCAACTTCCTTGGAGAACAAACTCATCCAGAGCACACTGGCCTGAACCCCAACTGCCCATCTCATACACACACACATACACATGTTTCTTCCCATCCTTCATCCCCCTATCCACTCTTATCGGATGAATAATAGGCCCGAGAAGCAGCCATGTGCAGTGTGTATTTGGTTTGGTGATAAGAAGCTATCAGCTATGATGTCAGCAGTAGGGAATATCAATATTCTTTTTGCAAGAGGAGGAAGTCTGAGCTAAGCTGCATGCATTATTCAAGCCACAAGCATGATCCTTGGCCATAACTTTGAGAGGGCATAAATAGATATCTAAAATTAGAATCTGAGATGCAAGCATTTGCACTTGTGTGCTCATTCATGACGGCAGAATTGAGGTGGGAAGAGACAACGATGGGCCAGGGGCCAAATTCTGATAAATAAAGACTCCTCTTTATTCAACCACACCTGAGGGAATGAGTCTCAGATACGATACTATAGAGATGCAAGACCAGTCAAGCCGATGCCTCATTCTCTGCACTTGTCATTACAGTCTTTATTATATTTTAAAGGAACAGTACACCTAATAACAAAAGTTTTCCTTTAACATTTTGGGAGTCGTTTCACCACTTTTTTAATATAGAGACAGTATTCGGAGACAATCATGGGGCAGACGAGGGGGAATGGGTTTGGGTAGCGACGCAAGCCAAATTCGAACCTACATTTCCCATATGCGGCACAGCGCATGTCCGGAATATTTGCACCTACTACATCACAACTCCAACCTGAAGGAGAAGGGAATCTCTGCAGAGCAAAAAGGGCATTCCCCAATAAGTGGGCATTTATCAACTGCTTAACTCAGCTGGAAAAAAATCATGAAGCTCCACTCGTAACCCCACCCCAAAATCTAGCCCTCAGTGGGATGGAGCAAATTGGGTAAAGCAGTTGAAATATGGCCACAGACTGGGAAACGCCCTTAATTGATTGGGCAACAACCTCTAGCGTACTGCAGAGACCTATACTCAGGGGTGCACATAAGTGGTGCGCAGGTGCGCATGTGTGACCAAAATAAAAAATGCGCTGGGTAAATAAGTTCAGAGTGCTCATTTGCGCACCGACATGGTTGACAGCTGTTAATGCACAATCACCGTTTTAGATCGACTAACTGTAATACTGTATAAGATTTCCATTCGAACTGAAAGCATAAATCTGCCAGTGCGAAACTGACATTTCATTTACTGACGTGCTTCACTCGGCAGCACTAAAACAGACAGCGCATATACTTACTTGTCGGCAACCCGCCAAAATAAAAGCTTGCTGATTTTAGGATTGAAAATTATGAAAATTCATATAAAAAAAAGAAAGAAAATGTAAATATTAGCATTGTATTTTTAAGTTTACTACAAAATAATTGTATTTTTAATATTCACTTTTTATTTTAAAATATAATAGTATTGTCACGCTCATTTTTATTATTGCTATTATTTTATTTAAAAATACGAAATAAATAAAGTGCAATAATACTACCGTCACTATTGTTATTTTATTTTTATAGTTATATTTAATGAGTCACACTATGTGCAGTGTGAGCACCAGACCAAATCTATGTGTGCTCTCATGAGAACCAGACTGAAAAATGTACGTGCCTATACTTGACCTGAAGGGGAATTGGTTGTGCTGCTCTTAAAATCAGCTTTGCTGTAATTAAAAATCAATTGCTAGATAGCTCTGCCCACAGTGAAATCTGATTGGTTCCAAAGCTCACTCAACAGCTGTGATGGTGTTATATTGCGGAGCGTTTTGTTTTCAGTGTGATAGACAAATTACTTCATGGTGGAAACTTGTGTTGGACCTTGAGTGCGTTTAACCACACCGTAACTAGCTGCTAACCACCATATTGTTGCAATAATCAGGACTGTTTTTTGAAACCGTTGTAACTTTGTTGAACTTTGTCAAATGTTTGCTGGAACTATTTTGGGATGTTAGGATTACCAAACCACTGAACTATGTTTCTAACAGAACTTGCGACTATAGTTGGCCAAGGATGCTTTTGGGAAACACACCATTGGTACATGGTTGAGTGTAGAAGTGGGTAACTTTTTTTTTTTTTTTAACAACATCCTTAATCATTATATAATAAAATAAAAGGCTTCCGCAAAGAAAGGTTTACTGATGAAATAATCATTGGAGCCACAACATGCTCTGACACCTCATTGAGATATTGACTGGTGGTGCTCATTTGGGCTTTTTGGGTTTAAATCTGGCTTGCAACAAATTCAAGTTCCCAATCCTGTTCCCCATTTCCCTGTGCTCTTGTATGAATATAAAGCGAAAAAACCCCCTGACAATTAGGCATCAGTAACTGAAAGTAGTCGTGTATACTTTCTTGCACTTTTCTCCACTTTTTCATCTCCATTCGTCACAAGGTGTCTCTCTAACCTGTCGACTGCACAGCTCCACAAAAGTTTGTACAAATTTGCTCGGTGATCTGCCTGCGTAATTGGAGCAGTTTTTTTTGCAGATGTGGAGCAGCAGTGTTTATTCATAGTTGCGTCGAGACATGGTGTTGTGTAGATTAAGCGTTCAGCTTCACTATCGCAGCTCATCCTTTACACGGTGCAATCAGAGGCGCTGATCTGAGCCGGCCCTAATTAGCTGTCAGCTCTAAACTTGCAGTCGGGCACAAACAAGCAAAGCATAGCACCGGGGATCATTGTGTCATTCACAATTTCTCTAGAACAGTGCAGGATTCGCTTCAGTTTGTGACAACTAACGACTGCTGCCTTTCCTGATAGTATAGAAAATCATTGGGGTAAAAATGACATAAAAAAAGGACAAAATGGTTTGGAATTTTATTTAACCATATTATTACTTAAGTCGGGGGAGAAGTAAGACATTCTTATACTAATCCTTAAAGCTAAAACCTAACACGTCATGTAGTTGAACTTTAATCCAAATTGCCTTAAAGTGAAACTAATGTGACTGGCTCAAGGAAACAATGTCAGGAAGAGCTTTATGGGTTTTCATAAAGTCATCAGAGATTTGATCACATACTGTACCACTAACAATGAACGTTTAATAGAAACTGCACTTCTTGTTATTGTTACCTCTGTGAATCAGATTATTGTTTTCTTACATATAGCCGAATGGGCAGTCCTTGGCACAGGCCACAGCTTTGCACTTCTTGTGACGTGGGCGACACTGGCAAACATCACAGCCGTGAATGTCAGTCTGGAAGCCAAAAGGGCATTTCAGAGTGCAGCTGGCAATTAGACCACTGCACAACTCTTCTCCTGAAGGTTAGAAGAAAACAGAAGAGACTAATTAATTACAGCTTTAGACATTAATTACCTTAATATACATGCTTTAAGATCAACACGTAGACAGGGAAGCAAAAACAAGATACATCCAACATACATTAATACATAAAGAAATAATAACATAATATAATTAATATAATATAATACAATACAAGTCATCCATTGCTATTTTTTAATTGTCATATCAATTTAATTTAATTAAATTTTAGGTTATGTTTTTAATTGAATAGTTTAATATTCATTTATCTTATCTTTTTTATTTATTTATTTATTTTATTTTAGTTTGATAAGCACTGATTATATTATATTACATACCAATATACTAATATAATATACCAATAAATACCTAAATATATTTTATATATATAAAAAAAAAAACGTTAACCCTAAAACACAAAGCAATGAAGTGCAAAAAACAAAAACAAACAAAAAAGTAAAATACCTGTAAAAAGAAATATGGAAAACTCCTTTATATTAATTCAGTTTTTACAGATTTTTTTTTACAGTGTATTATATGTTGTATTATAACATATTATACTATATTTGTATATTCATGTTATATTTATTATTTATTATATTTAGAGTGCAAATAAAAAAAATCATACACAGGCACAATTTATGTTTGCCTACAAAGCATAAATTTAAGCATATATTTACATTCAGACAGACTTTCAAATCAAAAGTTTCTGAGAAACAAATTCAGTCAAGTGTGTCCAAACGTTTGACAAGTAGTATATATCTTTAAATAGTATATTTATGATCCACAACTAGGCTTATGGTCCCACCCAAAATAATTAAAACCAGCATTATTATCTTTTTCCTTTGACATTTGTCAGACTTCAATTCACTCAGCCTATCTTAGTATAAAAACAATCCCTTAATCCATCTGCCCTTCAGTGTTTATCCTCATAAACATCTCTGCTAAAGCCAGTCAGTGTCTGGAGAGAACACCGCTAAAGACCGCCTGACAGCGTCTGTATGGGGTGAGGAAGATGAAGCACTTCTCCAGTTCACAGCTCACTTACGTGTCTTGCAGCTGCACATCCTGCAGTCGTTGGAGTCCATCCGGAAGCCGTACAGGCAGCTCTTTTCCACCAGCGTGCAGTTGTCCAGTGAACCGCAGGCAGGGGGCACCATAGTGATGTAGGTGGGTTCTAAAAAACAAAAAATATTCCCCCAGAGGATGTGAGTCACTCTTGACTAAGTCAGATAGTTAAAGAGACAGAGAAAGAATACGGGATCTTAGGGGCTCAAACGGGACTACACTTATGAGTCATAGGAGGCAAACAATTTTACACATACTTTAAGTTTCTGTTAAGAGGATAGTTCACACAAAAACTAAAATCCTGCCATCACTTACTCATCCTCATGTTGTTTTGTGGAAGGCAAAATAAGAATTTTTGAAGAATACCTTGTCCACTCTTTTCAATATAATATAACTGTTATTTTAGTATTATTTATATATTATTATAATATTTGGAATATTAAAAAAATAGCTTTTATTTTTATATTTTAAGTTTCCATTTTTATTTTGATGATAGTTTTTGAAGAATATCCTGGCCAATCTTTTCAATATAATATAACTTGTGTTATTTTAGTATTATTTATATACTATTATAATATTTGCTATATTTTTAAATGAGCTTTTATTTAAAGTTTTCATTTTTATTTTAGTAATGATTTTTTACTATACTTTGTTTTTAATTTCTATTTAGCTTTATTTTTATTTCAGTTTTAGTTTTAGTAATTTTAGTACTTAAACTTCAACTTGTTTTATTTCAGTTACTTGCCAAGACTCACTACTTTTTATTATTATAATTATTATTTTTTATCCAATATTTATTTTTTATACTATTTTAGCTTTATTTCAATAAATGAAAATAATTTTTAAAAATGTCAGTTTTAGTCACCAAAAACAACACTGAATCAAATTTAATTTTGGATGAACTATCCCTTAAATAAATGAGAAAAACGTCATCTTATTTCTCTTTTTGCACATGGTGACATCTCAGTCTAATAAAAATCCCACCTGGTTATAACTGATTTGGCTGAATCTAGTATCAGATTATAGATGTGTTTAATATAGAAACTCACTGTATATCGATGACACGCAAACCATTTTTTCATTTGTGACCTGGACCACAAAACCAGTCATAAGGGTCCATTTTTCGAAATTGAGATTCATAAAACATCTGAAAGCTGAACAAATAAGCTTTCCATTGATGTATGGTTTGTTACGATAGGACAATGTTTGGCCGAGATACAACTATTTGAATATCTGGAATCTGAGGGTGCAAAAAAAATCTAAACATGGGGAAAATCGCCTTTAAAGTTGTCCAAATGAAGTTCTTAGCAATGCATATTACTAATCAAAAATTAAGTTTTGATACATTTACAGTAGGAAATTTACAAAATATCTCCATGGAACATGATCTTTACTTAACATCCTAATGATTTTGGGCATAAAAGAAAAAGCAATAATTTTGACCCATACAATGTATTTTTGGGCTATTGCTACAAATATACCCCAGCGACTTAAATGGATAGTTCACCCAAAAATGTAAATTTGATGTTTATCTGCTTACCCACAGGGCATTCAAGATGTAGGTGACTTTGTTTCTTCAGTAAAACACAAACGAAGATGTTTAACTCAAACCGTTGCAGTCTATCAGTCTTATAATGGCAGTCAATGGGCTCCACGGCTTTGAGAGTAAACATACACAGACAAAACCAAATTAAACCCTGCGGCTCGTGACGATACATTAAGGTCTTAAGACACGAAATGATCAGTCTGTGCAAGAAACTGAACAGTATTTATATAATTTTTTACCTCTGATCCACTGCAATGTCCAACTGTCCTGAGTGCGTTCACAACATCCGGCGCGTGACGTCAAATAAATACAGTTGGGCAAAAATTCCACGTTGTCTGATGATATATCAAAATCGTCTTCCATTGTGATGACCTGTACTTCTAAATACCTTTAGAACATCGCAGTGCCAGTGAACACGTCCGCAATCTCTGCACTGTGTAAATAATGAGTGACATATACGTGCGAAAGATCGCTTCCGCACATGCGTCTACTATCATAGATATGTATAGATGCCCTATTCGACCGCTCCAGATACGTTGACGCGTCCGCCATTTTGGAACGTATCGCAGCTCATAGAAACAGTCACTAATGAGGCATCTACTTATCTATGTCTACTATGCCAGAGCACGTACACGCATCACGCGCTGGATGTTATGAACGCGCTCAGACATTGCAGTGGATCAGAGGTAAGAAAATGATATAAATACTGTTCAGTTTCTTTCACAGACCGATCGTTTCATGTCTTAAGACCTCAATGTCGCAGCTCATAGAAACAGTCACTAATGAGGCATCTACTTATATATATCTATGTCTACTATGCCAGAGCACGTACACGCATCACGCGCTGGATGTTATGAACGCGCTCAGACATTGCAGTGGATCAGAGGTAAGAAAATGATATAAATACTGTTCAGTTTCTTTCACAGACCGATCGTTTCATGTCTTAAGACCTCAATGTATCGTCACGAGCCGCAAGGTTTAATTTGGTTTTGTCTGTGTATGTTTTTTTTACTCTCGAAGCTGTGGAGCCCATTGACTGCCATTATAAGATTGACAGACTGCAACGGTTTGAGTTAAAAATCTTTGTTTGTGTTCTACTGAAGAAACAAAGTCACCTACATCTTGGATGCCCTGGGGGTAAGCAGATAAACATCAAATTTTCATTTTTGGGTGAACTATCCCTTTAAGACTGGTTTTGTGGTCCAGGGTCACATTTAGGTTTTAACACAAGAAACTGACAAGTTTCTATTTGATCCGATCGAAAGTTGTACTACGTTCTGATAAAGATGAGAAACAGTCAGATGGAAATACAGAAAGAAAGAGAGGTGGATAGATAAAGTGTCAAGATCTGAAATGGATAATAAATGCCTTCATGACTACAAACAGAGTTGATGGCAGCAGTCCAAAAACGAACCATCATCGCAGGAAATTGACTTTTTCACAGCGCGACCAGAATCTATAATTCACCACTCCTGCAAAACCTGAATGCTTGTAGTACATGCTGAAATTACTGATTGAATTGATTGGTTTGTGCCTGTCAAACCACTCATCCAATCAGCTTCCCTCTTGGCTCTTCTCAGTTTTTTTTTCTTCTCCACATTTAGCTTTGAATGCAGTGTTGTTCTGCAGTAGGGAATCAATTTCATGATGAAGTACATAAGCAAACACGAGTATGCTTTTCGATTTCTCTCGACCAACAACAGATGATCCATTTTAAAGGGGCAATTCACTGTCATGTCCTTTACACAAAGATCTTTCAGTGTGTGTTCTCAAAGTGAACTATATGAAGACGGTTTGGCTGTGTATTATGCTAAATATTAACTGAGGGTGCATGCTTCCTCATGAAGAATAACCAGGAATTATTAACATTACAACAAGGATGAAAACGAATGAATGTACGTGTGCTGCTTGTATGCAATTATTAGTACAGCAGACCCACTGTGTTTTGTGTATGCTCATTAAGCTGTCTCTGGTGGGCTGACCCCAGACCGCACGGATGGTGGGAGACACTGCAGTGGAGAGAGACAGACTTGTGTCAGAATTTGCAAATGAGTCAAGACACAAACCTCTTTTGATTCGCTTGCATCGCACATGGGGAAGAGAGAGACATGAGCTGTCAGTGGCCAAAAGAGAGTGCCGACATTGCATTAATAACTAATTGTTCAGTTCAGTTTAGTATACACTTCTCGGACTGAATGTAAATACAGTTGTCATGGCCTGCCTTTTAAGAAGTAAATTTGGTCGTAAAGCTCGACAGTGTCTTTTTTTTTATTGTATGGAAAATGTAAGTGTAAACAAGCAACTTCTGTTTTTTGTGTTTCAAGGAAAGAAAGAAAATCATATGGGGTGAACAATCCTTTTAATACATTCAGGACAGCTTTTGGAAATGTTGGTGGTGTTTCCTTCACCATTACTGAACCTACAGCGCCACGGTAAATCAAAATTAGTTGGGTAGTTTTTACCAGAGTTGTGAGTTAAAGTCTGAAATAAATATGAAGAGATAAAAATGTTGTACTGCAAAATAAAGCCCAGACATATCTTTCTACTACACATTCACTGGCTACAACCAAAACGAACATAAAGCATGTCTATAGTGTAATCAGATTTACCGACAAATTACATTCTTTTTTGAATCACACAGAAAGACTTACAAACACACAAGTTGGATTTTCAGACGTTGAATAAAAATAAAGCTTCAGTTTTGATTTGTGAAACTTAAATCGGTATCATTGCTAGCTGATTGTTCGTATGATACTGTGTAGTTGAATGATACACAGCTGCAGGTGTCTTTATAAAAAATAATTAAATATTAGATATTGAGCAGCACAACTGTTTTCAACATTGATAATACTAATAATAATAAGAAAGTTTTTTGAGCAGCAAATCAGCATATTAGAATGATTTCCGAAGAATCATGTGACGCTGAAGACTTTAAAATATATTAAAATATAAAATAGTTATTTTAAATTGTAATAATATTTCACAATTTTACTGTTTTTACTGTGTTTTTGTTCAAATAAATACAGCCCTGCTCAACATAAAACATCTTATTCGACTCCAAAATATAAAACGGTAAAGTACCAAAAAATATAAACGATTACATAATTCCAAATAAACGTAGTTTGGACCAGATTTTCAGGTTTATTATTATTATATATATATTTTTTTAAGTCTACGCTTCCCAAAAGTCTATAATTTTTTATTAAACCTTATTATAAAGGGCGGCAAATTGTGAGACGTTTGCAACTTATCTCTCCTCAACTTTTCTCAGATGTAAAGACATTGTTATTAAATTAAAAACAAGCTCTTAGCAATAAAAAATACAAACCTGAGGCGAATACTTTTTTTCCCCTATTCATTAAAAAGCACTGTTGCATTAACACTACTGTAACATATGAAGCCATGTTGGCTTTGGTGCCTTATTTTGTTTCTTCCTATTTAGCCGCACAACCAACAGAGCAGGCTCATATTCAAAGACTTTTAGAAATAAACAAGTGCATTGTATGTGAAAATGAAGGCACATATTTGAATGTGGAACAATTTCGGTGCAAAATACTAATGGC